CATGTGGGTCTGTCCTTTGTGCGGGTGCCTCCTTTTATAGTGGTGTTGAAGTCAAACCAAGAAGAAAGTCGGGCCAAGAAAGGACGGCAGGCACACGGGTTGGCAGAACCGCTTTTCGCCAAGCCTCGCAGCCTATCACCCCACCAAAGGAGAACTCACTTAAACTTGGCAGCTGATGTTCAAACCAGCTTGAGAAACATGTGGGTCTGTCTTTTTCGCGGGTGCCCCCTTTCATAGTGGTGTTGAAGTCAAACCAAGAAGAAAGTCGGGCCAAGAAAGCACGGCAGGCACACGGGTCGGCAGAACCGGTTTTCGCCAAGCCTCGCAGCCTATCACCCCACCAAAGGAAAACTCACTTAAACTTGGCAGCTGATGTTCAAACCAGCTTGAGAAACATGTGGGTCTGTCCTTTGTGCGGGTGCCTCCTTTTATAGTGGTGTTGAAGTCAAACCAAGAAGAAAGTCGGGCCAAGAAAGGACGGCAGGCACACGGGTTGGCAGAACCGCTTTTCGCCAAGCCTCGCAGCCTATCACCCCACCAAAGGAGAACTCACTTAAACTTGGCAGCTGATGTTCAAACCAGCTTGAGAAACATGTGGGTCTGTCTTTTTCGCGGGTGCCCCCTTTCATAGTGGTGTTGAAGTCAAACCAAGAAGAAAGTCGGGCCAAGAAAGCACGGCAGGCACACGGGTCGGCAGAACCGGTTTTCGCCAAGCCTCGCAGCCTATCACCCCACCAAAGGAAAACTCACTTAAACTTGGCAGCTGATGTTCAAGCCCAGAAACATGTGGTGTGTCTTTTGCGCGGGTGCCCCCTTTTCTAGTGGTGTTGAAGTCAAACCAAGAAGAAAGTCGGGCCAAGAAAGCACGGCAGGCACACGGGTCGGCAGAACCGGTTTTCGCCAAGCCTCGCAGCCTATCACGCCACCAAAGCAAAACTCACTTAAACTTGGCAGCTGATGTTCAACCCAGCTTGAGAAACATGTGGGTCTGTCTTTTTCGCGGGTGCCCCCTTTCATAGTGGTGTTGAAGTCAAACCACACGGGTTGGCAGAACCGGCTTTCGCCAAGCCTCGCAGCCTATCACCCCACCAAAGGAAAACTCACTTAAACTTGGCAGATGATGTTCAAACCAGCTTGAGAAACATGTGGGTCTGTCTTTTGCGCGGGTGCCTCCTTTTATAGTCGGTTTTCGCCAAGCCTCGCAGCCTATCACCCCACCAAAGGAAAACTCGGCACCCGTGCAGAAGACAGACCCACATGTTAAGTTTAAGTGAGTTTTCCTTTGGTGGGGTGATAGGCTGCGAGGCTTGGCAAAAACCGGTTCTGCCGACCCGTGTGCCTGCCGTGCTTTCTTGGCCCGACTTCTTCTTGGTTTGACTTCAACACCACTATAAAAGGGGGCACCCGCGCAAAAGACAGACCCACATGTTTCTCAAGCTGGTTTGAACATCAGCTGCCAAGTTTAAGTGACGTTTCCTTTTTTGGTGGGGTGATAGGCTGCGAGGCTTGGCGAAAAACCGTTATAAAAGGGGGGGCACCCGCGCAAAAGACAGACCCACATGTTTCTCAAGCTGGTTTGAACATCATTTGCCAAGTTTAAGTGAGTTTTCCTTTGGTGGGGTGATAGGCTGCGAGGCTTGGCGAAAACCGGTTCTGTTGACCCGTGTGTCTGCCGTGCTTTCTTGGCCCGACTTTCTTCTTGGTTTGACTTCAACACCACTATAACAGAGGGCACCCGCGCAAAAGACAGACCCACATGTTTCTCAAGCTGGTTTGAACATCAGCTGCCAAGTTGAAGTGAGTTTTCCTTTGGTGGGGTGATAGGCGAGGCTTGGCGAAAACCGGTTCTGCCGACCCGTGTGCCTGCCGTGCTTTCTTGGCCCGACTTTCTTCTTGGTTTGACTTCAACACCACTATAAAAGGGGGCACCCGCGCAAAAGACAGACCCACATGTTTCTCAAGCTGGTTTGAACATCAGCTGCCAAGTTGAAGTGAGTTTTCCTTTGGTGGGGTGATAGGCGAGGCTTGGCGAAAACCGGTTCTGCCGACCCGTGTGCCTGCCGTGCTTTCTTGGCCCGACTTTCTTCTTGGTTTGACTTCAACACCACTATAAAAGGGGCACACGCGCACCAGACAGACCTACATGTTTCTCAAAAGCTGGGTTATTTGAACAATCTGCTGCCCAAGTTTGAAGTGAGTTTTCCTTGGTTGGGGTGAAGGTAGATAGCTGCGGGCTTGGCGAAAACGGTTCTTGCCGACCCGTGTGCCTGCCGTGCTTTTTTGCCCGACTTTTCTTCTTGGTTTGTTTTTCAACACCACTATAAAGGGGGCACCCGCGCAAAGGGGGCACCCGCGAAAAAAGACTGACCCACATGTTTCCAAGCTGGTGTTGAACATCAGCTGCCAAGTTTAAGCGAGTTTTCCTCTGGTGGTGCTGATTAGGCTGCGAGGCTTGGCGAAAACCGGTTCTGCCGACCCGTGTGCCTGCCGTGCTTTCTTGGCCCGACTTTCTTCTTGGTTTGATTTCAACACCACTATAAAGGGGGCACCCGCGCAAAAGACAGACCCACATGTTTCTCAAGCTGGTTTGAACATCAGCTGCCAAGTTTAAGCGAGTTTTCCTCTGGTGGGGTGATAGGCTGCGAGGCTTGGCGAAAACCGACTATAAAAGGGGGCACCGCGCAAAAGACAGACCCACATGTTTCTCAAGCTGGTTTGAACACCAGCTGCCAAGTTTGAGTGAGTTTTCCTTTGGTGGGGTGAAGGCTGCGAGGCTTGGCGAAAACCGGTTCTGCCGACCCGTGTGCCTGCCGTGCTTTGTTGGCCCGACTTTCTTCTTGGTTTGACTTCAACACCACTATAACAGGGGTCACCCGCGCAAAAGACAGACCCACATGTTTCTCAAGCTGGTTTGAACATCAGCTGCCAAGTTTAAGTGAGTTTTCCTTTGGTGGGGTGATAGGCTGCGAGGCTTGGCGAAAACCGGTTCTGCCGACCCGCGTGCCTGCCGTGCTTTCTTGGCCCGACTTTCTTCTTGGTTTGACTTCAGCACCACTATAAAAGGGGGCACCCGCGCAAAAGACAGACCCACATGTTTCTCAAGCTGGTTTGAACACCAGCTGCCAAGTTTGAGTGAGTTTTCCTTTGGTGGGGTGAAGGCTGCGAGGCTTGGCGAAAACCGGTTCTGCCGACCCGTGTGCCTGCCGTGCTTTGTTGGCCCGACTTTCTTCTTGGTTTGACTTCAACACCACTATAACAGGGGTCACCCGCGCAAAAGACAGACCCACATGTTTCTCAAGCTGGTTTGAACATCAGCTGCCAAGTTTAAGTGAGTTTTCCTTTGGTGGGGTGATAGGCTGCGAGGCTTGGCTAAAACCGGTTCTGCCGACCCGCGTGCCTGCCGTGCTTTCTTGGCCCGACTTTCTTCTTGGTTTGACTTCAGCACCACTTAAAAGGCACCCGCGCAAAAGACAGACCCACATGTTTCTCAAGCTGGTTGGAACATCAGTGCCAAGTTTAAGTGAGTTTTCCTTTGGTTGGTGATAGGCTGCGAGGCTTGCGAAAACCGGTTCTTGCCGACCCGTGTTGCCTGCCGTGCTTTTTGGCCCGACTTTGTTCTTGGTTTGACTTCAACACCACTATAAAAGGGGGACCGCGCAAAAGACAGACCCACATGTTTCTCAAGCTGGCTTGAACACCAGCTGCCAAGTTTAAGTGAGTTTTGCTTTGGTGGGGTGATAGGCTGCGAGGCTTGGCGAAAACCGGTTCTGCCGACCCGTGTGCCTGCCGTGCTTTGTTGGCCCGACTTTTCTTCTTGGTTTCACTTCAACACCACTATATAAAAATAAAGGGGGACCCGCGCACAAGACAGCCCACATGTTTCTAAAGCTGGTTTGAACATCAGCTGCCAGTTTAAGTGATTTTTCCTCTCTGGTGGGGTGATAGGCTGCGAGGCTTGGCGAAAACCGGTTCTGCCGACCCGTGTGCCTGCCGTGCTTTCTTGGCCCGACTTTCTTCTTGGTTTGACTTCAACACCACTATAAAAGGGGGCACCCGCGCACAAGACAGACCCACATGTTTCTCAAGCTGGTTTGAACATCAGCTGCCAAGTTTAAGTGAGTTTTGCTTTGGTGGGGTGATAGGCTGCGAGGCTTGGCGAAAACCGGTTCTGCCGACCCGTGTGCCTGCTTTCTCGGCCCGACCCACTGCCTGTTTGGCGGTCTGCGGTGGACAAGCAGAGTGGGAAAGCCTGAAGAGCTCAAGCGCGGCAGAAGCTCCCGGGTCTGGAAGCACTTCTGGTTCTTTGCTGGCTCGGCCAGAACGCAAGGAGTGATAGAGCAAAGGGGCCCAAGCAGCACAGGCGCCTTTCTCAAACCGTGCCATACGTGCGACTCCTGGCTGCTAGCAGCCAGAAGAACGCAACTCCTTTTTTTTGAATACTTCCTCGCGTTTTTCCATCAACTAGGGGTGAAGTGATCATCATGTCGATCTTCACTTTTTTTCTACCTCATAGGGCCAGGAGCCCCCCTGTGGACGGGGTGGCATCAAGTCGTCTCCCGTCAGCTGCTGAGGGGAGTGGCCTTGATCTGGGGCCCATTCTCCCAACTTTGCACCAACCGATTCACACGGAAGAAGGCTGCACCTTTTTTGTGATGAATCAGTTGGCAGCGCCACCTGATCTTCTGTTGTTGTCCTTTTTGACGCTACAGCGTGTTAGACGCAGTGATCAAAGTCTTAACTTCAACATCTTGTTTTCGCTTACTCTAAGTTTACTACTGCGTTTTGCACACATCGGCTCCATGTTTGCTGTCAGTGCCTTGTTTGCGTTTCCTTTCTTCTGCCACACGTGAAAGTAGCTTGAAGTTAGTTGGCACCAGTTTTTTCAGCTGCAGTTGCTTTCATGCCGTCGCATATTTTCAAAAATTGACATCGTGTCCCTTTCCTGTTTGGATTTCTTCGATGCTCTCTACTGCGACTTGTGTGGACTTGTAGCGTGCGAGGAAGTACTTGGACGGCGGTGTGCAGCGCCACTTTGACCTGGAGGCTGTGCTGCAGAAGCTCCGTGAAGGCGCACTCGAAAGGGGCATGGCAAGGCTTGGGGAAAGGAATCGAAAGGAGGGAAAAGGCTCGGGGAAAAGGCATGAGAATCGAAGCATTCACTTCTGTCGCATGTTCTGCCACTTCTGTCACTGTGGATAGAGCTTCGGAGTTTGCCCCGAAGGCATGCGGCAGCAGTACCCGCTGGCACGGGACATCTTCCGTAAGTTCGATGCGGACCACGATGGCGCCACTCGCCCTAGAGCCCCCACTTTGTCTCACTGAGCGTCACATGTGTGAGGTCTTGACGAAGACGGAGTTCAAGAACGCCCTGATCAAGTGGGGATTCCAGGTCACAGAAGAGGAAGCCCTCCTCATCATGAAGGCCTTTGATTCTCGCAAGGTACCCTGCTCAGCGCCTGCAGCACTTGGCTCGATCTTTCTCACTTGGCACTGAGGATGGGCAGATCAGCTACAATGAGTTCTGTGACTGCCTCATCGATGAGGATTACACCAATGCCAACTGGCTGCATTGGATGCTGCATGTAGACGAAAGAAAGGCGACACGTTGTGTGCAGGCCATGATGAAAGTGCGGCCAAAGCTGGACCAGGATGCTGGAAGGGGGATCCATAGTCCTCTGTTTATTAGATCTTAGCAGCACAAACTTTGGTTTTCTACCAACAACTGGCTGGCAGAGACAAGAACTCACACTTAGTATAGACAGAGTGGTATTTGGCGCCCTGCAGCTATGGATATCCAGTAATTTGCATTGTCTCTGGCGAAGTTGTCACTGTGCCACACGATGATTTGGCCAGGATGTTGGAAACTACCCTGACCTGGCACAGTGATGCCGTGCCCGCTTCTGTCGGGGTTGAAGCTGCAAGTCCGTTCGCTTTGCAATTGCCAGGACCAAGCTGGAGGAAAGAGATGAGCGGGAAAAGATCCGCTCGGCTGTGAAAGCCATTGGGGACGTCATTTACAAGCAGCTCGGATCAAAGCTGTCAGAGTGTCTAGCCGAGTGCTCGCACGTTCACGCTAGGCATAACACCAACTTCATGCGCCTCCTGAAGGAATGGACGAGCATCTTGTTGTGGTCATGGAACTCCATGCCGCAAATTGCAGGAGTTCGCACATCTTACGCACGAGAACACCGTCGGCTGTGAGCAGATTACGAAGGCCTTGAACACCATCGGCCAGAGTTTCAGCCTGGAGGAGATGGGGCGCCGTGGCATGCCTTGGGGGAGAAGCTTATGAGGATCCTCGCTTGGATCCCAAGAAACAGAACTGATCGCAGGATGTGCAGCGATGCGTGCAGCGGGCCCAGTCACTGCACCATGAGCACATGCTATGCAGGTATAAGCTCATGCAAGCTCAAAAGTTGTCAGTTGTGGCCACAGCGCAGCCACAAGGGCCTACGTCCTGCCAGATGTGGACTTTGAGCAAGTAGAGTACGTTGCATTCCTCAAGGCTGTCTGTGACTTACACTCACACGGCTGCAATGCGCAAGAGCGGCAACTGAAGTGAACAGTGAACACGGTGAGCACAGTGAGCACAGTGAGCACAGTGAGCACAGTGAACACGGCAGAGGCAAAGAACAGCTCGAATGCCAAGCTTCCAGTTGAATGCCGAGGTAGTGTCGTCCTTCCACGATCTGAGCGCCAGTCGATGACCAGCGTGCAACACGCCTCAGGACTCACTGTCCGAAATCTGCTTTGGACCGATGGCCCGCAAGGTGTGTGTTTCACGTCTCACTTGGTTACTGTGCCATATGGGAGCGGCAGAGAAAAACGACAGCGCGCAAAATGCGCAGATGTCGCGATGGCACCGGTCACTCTGGCTCAGGTCCCAGCACGGGCTTCCATTTCAAGGAGAGGGGGAGCGTCGGAGAGTCCCGGAGACGGCGAAGGCTCTAAAGGCGAACAGGCCGCCCTGTGAGGAGCCTCAGCTGCCAAGTGCAGAGGCGGTTTGGCAGGAGGGGCGAGAGCAGAGATGCAAAGAAATGCAAAGAGAGGGCTGCAGGCGGAGCCACCATCGCCTCAGCCACTCTGTGATCCTGACGCTTGTGGCTAGCCTATCCAGTGCAAAGCGTGCGGGAGGCGTGCGAGAGGCGTGCGAGAGGCGTGCGAGTCCAAGGTGCCCAAGCGCTGAAGCGGCGGTTGGAAACGTGGAAGGCTGGGTCTCACGCAAGGAAATGCGGCAGATTTTGTCCGAAGCCTCAGATGCGTGCCACATCTCCTCGCTCGCCTGTGAGCATGGAGGCAAGCGAGGGACAGTTTGCGAGACGGAGACGAACAGAACGAAACAGGGCAAAAGCAGGGAAAAATAACTTCTGTCGAGGAGGCGCCCCTAGTCTTGGATGCAGACTTCGAGAGCGGAAGCCAGCCTCCTGAGCCAACTCCAAGGGACCGGGCCTGGCGACAGATGTGCACCTGTGGGAGGCAGCAGGCTGACGAACTCCAGCCATGTCAACCCCTGCACAACTTCAATCAGCTTTACCTGGGTGTGGGTCAACACTAAATCACCAGGGACCGCAGGTTGTATTACCAGGTTCCATTTTGGGTACATATTTTTGACCCACAGCCACCTAGTGCTGGACGATTTGCAGGATCGCGGAAAGACGCTAAGGCCTTGGCCCAGTCACACGTATTGGTCCTTTCGAGTACGAGGCGCCCAACATGAGAGGGCAGGGTTGTCCATTCGCCATGCCGCAGTTGTATCACGAAAGTTGTGTTATGCAAGACGAAATGTGGTCCGGTGTCGCATTGCATAGAAGTGAAATGAAGTAAAAACTGTGCCCAACATGGAAGTTCAAATGGGGCACAAAGAGCGTGGGAGGTTCAACTTCTTTCTGACGCAAGTGGAGGTTCCATCCAGTGGCCGACGGCTTGGCGGCTGTGTGTTTGGCTGTATTATACATGTTTTAGCCGCTTCTTCGCATAAGGTCACTCAGAGCAATGATGCATCAGCATGTTTTCTTCAACAGAATGATAGCTTGCAGTTTAAGAGCACAGCATAGCCCCAGTGCAGGTGAGCTTTCATGGCATTTGCAGACACATGGTGAGCTTTCAAAACACTTAAGCCAAATTGTCGTAGGTTTTGCTTCCGAGTTCGGCAAATGCGCCCCGGACAGTTCTAGCCTCAGATGTGTGGTCAGATGCCGCTTCATATCATCATCCTCAGGCTGTACACTTTCCATTTGATGAACTTCATAAAGCCCGGCAGCCTTTTCGCAGAGGCCTTGGCACGCGTAGCAGCTTACTAGGAGCTGTTGCGCAAAACGGCGGCAGAACAAGCTTCATTTGTCACAAGCTGAGGAAGAGGGGTGTCAGCCTGTCTTCTTCTCCAAACGGAGAATGGAAGCGACGGGCATTGCATGGTCCAGAGAAGGCTCCGCATGGCCATGGGAAGAGCTGCATCACTGTCGCTCGGAACGCTCAGAAGTTGCATCTAGCTTCAGGCATTGATACCGCGTACTACCCTTGCGGTGGCTGGGTTGCATTCGAAATGCGAGCTGTATGGCATGCATCAATGGTTCGTCAAATAATACGAGTGCACGAACTGGCACCGACTTGCAGGTTTCGCTGGGACCCGGAAGCTCTTTTGCATCTCTTTCGACATGTTTTTTCCCTTCGAGGAGGCCTGAAGAGTTCTGAAACACAGAGAGACGAGATTGCCAATGTACCTGATGCTTGTGACCCTGTGTGCGAGCTTGACAGATGAGTGCGTTGATTTCAGCCATCGTGGATGAAGGGGGAGCGTTGCAGAGTTGTAAATCATTTGCTTGCCGCATTGCAGATTTGTGCGTTCGAAGTTGCCAGCCTTCACATACTGTGCAAGATTGTACAACGTGACTTCAGTTGGGAGGGGCCATGGCGGTGGAGCTGTGGTCTGGTCTGCTGCTGGCTGTGGCTGTGTGGCGCTGCGCGCGGGACCGCGCGAGGCGGCTGCGCTACTGGAGGCCGAAGCTGCCACAGTCCGCGCAGTCCGCGCAGTCCGCGCAGTCCGCGCAGTCCGCGCAGTCCGCCTCCAAGGCGAATCCGAGTCCCAACGGCGCCGACGTTGCGGACGTGAGTGTGGCCGACTTGGGCCGGGAGTTCCGGCACTGCGCCAGCAAGCTGGAGGAGCTGCTACGGAACGGAAAGCTTAGCCAGGCGGTGCTGCTGGAGGCGTACGGGTTGTACAAACAGGCGAACCTCGGGGACGCCGACGAGGCCTCAAGGCCCTGGGCCGCGCAGGTCAAGGCCCGGGCCAAGTTCGATGCCTGGGCCAGCCGCCGCGGCATGAGCCCACCAGAGGCCATGCGGCAATACATCGACCTCATCCAGGCCCAGAGCCCAGCCGCAGCCGCAGCCGCAGCCGCAGCCGCAGCCGCATGAGCCGCATGAGCCGCAGCCGCATGAGCCAGCCAGGCCATAGAGGCCATAGCCCGATTTCAGATTTCAGATTTCACACCGAATGCGTTGAGCTTTTGCAAAGGATCCGTCGGCCTCAAGCCTCGCACAAAGGGAGCCGTGCTGGTCCGTCGGGCACAAGGGGGTTTGTGCTTGCAATTCTTGGATCAAGCTGTTTCAGCCCAGGATGAATTGAACTGGAGTGAGCATTGAGTCCAAGCTTTGACCACTTGGCACAGCACATGTTAGTTCTTTCAAGCTTCAAGACTCGGGGCACAAAGCCATGGGGAAGCATGGACGCTTGACTGAATCGGCTTGCAATGTAGGCGGGGGAGAAGGCAACAGTTTTAGTTTCCGGGCGGCTTGGGAGCTAGGAAACTGAGCTGCCACACCATGTTACGCCCAGGGCGTTTTCTGAAATGCATGTGACGTTATTAGATATACTCTCTGAGGCAGCTTGCTGCTATGGGTCCTGGTGCTGGCTGCTTTGCTCGTTGTGTGCTGGGCCATGCTGCAGCAGGACGCTGTCCCGTACCCCCAAAAGCAGTGCAGGGACATCTCAGTTTTTTTTGATAGACATCTTGGCCCAGACTTTCACCCCTCCGAGGAAGCATGCTGGGTTCCACGCATTTTATCCAAGGTCTGTACCAGTCGATCTCGTCACCTCTGCATGGCAGCGCATGGCAGCGCATGGCACGCGCTAGGAGGCTACGCGCAACGAGGTGACCGTTCTTCTGACAGGCTCCGAGTCCTCGAGTGAGTTCTCCGAGCTTGAGCGATCTGCGCTAGGCCTCAGCACCTCGATGCTGGGCTCGGACGCGCAAAGGGCCACATTGCCACAGGGCCCACCCGAGAAAGAGCGGGATGCCATGGTCATGGCGGCTCGGCCGCACCTCTGCCTGTGAAATGACTCAAGCTTTGTGCAAGTCTTAATCTTGCTGTCAACTCGCTCTGCACCGATCGAGTCTCGAGGCATTCTTCGTGGTGGCCATCTTCGAGGTGAATTGGGCGCTGAGGCTGCTGGTGGTGGAGCCCTTGGCCTGGCTGGCGATCGGTATCCGCAACGAACCGCTCCCCGGCGGAAGCCCAAACGTCAGAACAAGCGAAACGCATGCGCCGCAAGAAAGCATATGGAGACGTAGGAAGCTTGTAAAGAAGGCGCTAGACAATGAAGACCTTGAAGAGACGGAAAGAGGCTGCGGGAGACGCAGAAAAAATAGAGACAGAGCCTTTGCCACCAGTGTAGCCTGCCAGCTTCAGGTTGGTGAAATTTTCCCAGTCTGTGCTGGAGGCGCGATTTCAGTGAGAGGCCGGATTCTTGGATGCCTTTGCAGGCTGTTGTCTATGGAACCTTCACGGTCATCGGTATTGCCATTGCGACTTTGCTGGAAAGCTAGAATGGGCAGACAGTACGGGAAGGGAGAATGGGAAGCACACGCCACTCTCAGTTCAGAAGAGATAAAAGGAGGGATTAAAAAGAAAAGGATGCAGAATGCGTTCGCAGACAGATCGTGTGGCAATCGAGAGAGTTGTGTGTCACGAGATGTCACGAGGTTCCCAACCAGCCTTGGGCTTGGCCTAGCGCCAACTGGTGGCGAGGTTTCGACAGCGGCCGCGGCCCCGGTCGAGCAGCGACAATTTCTCTTTTTGCTCTCTCGCTTTCTCTCTCTCTCTCTCTCTCTCTCTCTTCCCGAGTTTGCCCAGCTCTCTCTTTTCTCTGTCTTTGCCCAGCTTGCTCTCCAATTTGTCTTTTCCCTTGCTCGATCGATGTTCGTCGCGCAACCTTGGCGCTTGCTGGGTCTCTCGTTCGACCAGGTGAGCATTTGATCATGCGCTCTGACCTTCGTTGCTTCTACATCCTGTATGCAGCACGCTACATCCAGGTGTGGAGCTGGCATAGATCAGACGCATGCATCGTGGCATCGTGGAACTTGTCAGGCGGCCATAACGGTGCTGCTGGAGCCAAAGCGCAAAGACTTTTTGGAGATGATGGTGCCTCGGCTCGTGTGCCCATGGCGCTGCCCAAAGCTTCCGGCAGGTGCATCACGTGGTTACCATTGGAGCTACCGAGCTGAAACAGGAGTGACATATGACCGACATATGACATATGACACGGCGTGTGGCATTGAGGTTGTCTATGTCTCGTACTTTGGCGGATGGAATCGAGTGGGGGTGGTCGATGCATGGCTGCACCAGACTTGCTCTGACACACGGCCAGACCGATGCCAATGGTTTGCATTTGCCGACCAGGTCATGGTGTTGCTAGATCCAGCAGATGTACCGCTGCACTTGGCGCACCTGATCTGAACTGTCCAGATGGGGTGTGCCTTGCGACAATGACTCGCATTTTTTTGTGTGCGCACTCACTTAAGACAGGCAGAGAGACACAGTCGCATTCATTCATTGATCTCAGGAAGTTGTGCAAATATACATCGGAGCAGTTGCACATGAGCATCTGGCAGTTTTTCGCTGATCGCCTGTTCGAGTTCTTCGCAGTTTTGCTCCTTGACGCAGAAGCTCGTCACCTTTTGTGTCATGCGCACATTGACATTCATCAGGTTTTTCGTGACACGCCTGGTGATGTTTGGGCAACTTGGCAGACAATCGAACGCAGAATCGACGGGGCAAATGCAGTCTTACCGTTTAAAGTGTGTGATGAGGTACAACTTTTGTTCAACTTTTGTTTTACAGTATTGATGCGCTGGCGGGTGTTGCAGGTACGTATGCTGGTCAGCATCCCAGTACATTTTGGTGGCTGCGGGGCCTGTTGAGCAAGCATTGTCCCGGAGGTCTTCTCACATTGAGTCCCAGCGGTACTTCATCAAGGATTACGCTGCCAGCTTTTGCGTGCTGTTGCTCTACCTCTTGATGGTGTCTTGGACAGTTTGGACGGAGCCCCTGAAGATTTGGCCATGGGGCATAACCTATGGCTCCATATTGGGGTGGATGAACATCCATTTGCCACCTATTTTGATGTTCACCAGGGGTGCAGGGCTTTGATCCACAGGCATTTGAGCATCTCGAGGTTTTGCAGCTGTACTGGTTTGGGCTCATCCTCAAGGCTCGAAGAGAAACTCGGAGAGACTTGGAACAACTCCGCGTCGACCTCATCTCTCTTTCTTCGCAGGTCGCGGTGAAGCTGATGCGAGGGCAGGGTGTAGAGGACATCCGCTCAGATGACGAGGAAGAGCACCTCGACAGTGCCATGTGCCTCTGAGCTTTTTGCGTCTCCCGGAGACGTGAAGACCTTGGCCTCAGTCTAATTATTTCTGCAATGTTTTCGACCGGATTTGCACGGCAAAACTCATAGGCACGTGCCTCAATGCGGAAGAGTCGGCTCCCTGCTATTCAGGCCAGAAAAAAAGGAGAAGTGAGCCGAGTGCGCACATGTATATTTTGCTTGACCTGAGCGGTGGGATGAGAGAGTGAGAGCACCTAGACCAGATATTTTCTGAGAAGCTTGGCGTGTTCAAGTCAAGCCTTAATTTCAGTGCGCGCTGAGCGCCGCAAGTGCGCTGAGTGCACAGCCATCGGCGAAGGCCATAGGATGTCAAATCAGCAAATTAGTAGCTCGCCTCATTTGACATGCATGCGAATGGAGAAATAAGTTCAATTGCGTGCGCTTTCCAGGGCTTCACTCGTGTTGCATGGCCGTCATTTTCACTCATTGGCATGTCGGTAAATGTTGCCTTCCAAGTCATGATCCAAGGATCGACTGAGGTGCAAGCGAGTATTCAAGTGACGCGCTGTTCCGCAGGACGACTGCTTTTTCGCATATTCCGTGCCCTACACTTACTCTGACTTGCTGGCGCCCCGGATGGCCCGGATGGCCCGGATGGCCCGGATGGCCCGAATCCAGGGGAGTTTCGGTTGAGGCGCTCGGACCTGAGCCGCTTCCCCCAAGAGAGCCTCGCCGTGACCACCGGCGGCCAACAGGATCGGGAGTCCAGTCCCGTCCGGGAGTCCGGGGTTTGCAACCAGCTTACAGTACCAATTGAGAAGAGAGGCAAAACAAGAGATCAAAGTAAGGCATGGGATTGTAAAATAGGAGAAACCGATAAGCGAGTGATGATGATATGTATCTTTCTCTCCATTATGTGGGTCGTCCTAGAACCCAAGTCTTCGGCGTCAACTTTCGAACGGGGAGAAGATGTGCACCCAAGGAGCGCACAAAGTGCCGAAGGGACACGCAAGGTTGAAGTGTTAGGGGGTTTCATGCGCGGATGCCTAGCCTCATAGCGAGTCATAGCGAGTAACTGACACGACAAGAAGCACACATCAGCAACTGACGCCACAAAATCCGCGCAAGCAGTGCGCAAGCAGCGTGCAAGATGCATGCAAGTTTCGTGCAAGTACGAGAAGCCCCAGCCAGGCATCCATCAACCTTTTTCCTGCCTCGGATGTCCTTAGCGGCGCGGTCCGCAACATCCACTTTCCTTTCACAAAGTGAACAAAAACTTGGCAAACCGAGGGTCAACGAAAGCAAGTCCGAATCCCGGGCAGAAGAATATGGACATCTTTATCATCCATGTTTTCTTCATTCCCCAGATAGCTGCAAGCTATAAGGGGTTCTTCTCAGGGCAGACTGTGTTAGTTCAGGCCAGGTTGGGGTCTATGTAGACAAATGCACCGGAGCGTCGGGACAGGGATCGGGCAATTCAGGCCTTCTGCACTTCAGGTCCCGGCGCTGCGCATGGGAAGCGGGCCGCGCGCCTGCATCGTGGCACGGACCTGAAAGTGAGCTAACGAACAAATCCGAGAACCGATTAGCGAATCTGACATTCTGTGAATTAAACCCCAAAGAACCTGGGCCATGTTGCCAAGGCAAGAGCTCATCCGTGCGAGACGCATGCATCTTGGGTCATGCGAGGGGCCTTGCGCTGAGAAGCATTTTTTGGACGAAGCTTTGGGCAGCCAACTCTGAACGTCAAAAAGACTCGCAAGACTCGCATTCACTGAAGGTTCTGGATTTTTTGTTGGGCAACGACCCAGAGGCGTTTTTTTTTTTTTGCATCTCACATCTCAACTCGCTTGGTATCCAGGCACAAAGCTGCCTCAGCCAAGTTGCATGGCTTCTGGTGCCCATGTCGGCTTCTGAGACTTGGCCTGCAGGCTGAACGAATTCCATCAATTCGAGGCTCAACCCTGATGGTGTTGCAGCAGGAAGGACCAGAACCAACTTGGACTCCGTGGACCTTAACAGGTGGGAGCCAGCTCCAGCCCTTGAGCCCTTGAGCCCTTGAGCCCTTGAGCCCTTGAGCCCTTGAGCCCTTGAGCCCTGAGCACGGCCCTCGAGTGCACCTCGACGTCACGCAAAGATTCCAGGCACCACCATGATGACACGGCCGCGGAGACCAAAGCATTGAAAAGTGCCCTTCAGGCGCCGGGCCGCGAACAAACAGAACAATCGTCGCGGTGTCGGCCAGGCGGAAGGCGAGGCGGGCGAGCTGTTGGCCTTCGTCGACATCCATAGCCACTCCAAGTGCCGTGGCTTCGCAAGAGATGCCGTTGGCCATTTCTCAACCCACGGCACCCACGGCAATGGCTCATGCTTGGAGAAGGCTTGGGCCATGCCTGTGCCGCACGTTTAGGCGCCGTGGCATTTTCGCGATTGCCAATGGCAACAGTGCGGACCGGCTGGTGTCGCTCATCGCCGACAGGCAGGGTCAGCCTTGTGTTGGATAGACTTCTGCTCTTGAATATTCGGCCGACTGGCATCTCCGAATGAGAGCAGTTGCTTTTGCCGCAAAGAAGTGGGACAAAGGGACAGGAGCTCAAAGGTGGAGGTACTTGCGATTGCAGCGGGTAGCTGACATGGGTCCCGCTGGTTAGCTATGCCATGTGTTGCAGTGCAAGAGCACCAATGCGAGTCATGGGCCTTGCCCGATGTAGGTCTGCTCGTAAACCCTGGAGAGAGTTGCATGGTCTGGTGATTAAGTCTGTAAGGAGGGGTGTGTGTGTGTGTGCGCCCGCGTGTGAGTGTGTGTGTGTGTGGTGTATTGATGCGAGATCCACAGGCAGAGAGGTATTTATTGCTTGAACCATACACCTTGGCAACCAAAAGCTTGATGACAGGATGGAGCAAGCGTCGCTATAATCTCAATATATAGGCGTTTTGGAAAAGGCAACAGAGCATGTTCTGTCTGATGGCATGCTGCTGTAAACTGAAGCAGCAGCTCGTCGTTGTGTTCGTTTGAAAGCCAGCAGCCAGCGACCTGATGAATACTGTTGTCAACATATTTGCAAGTTGAGTGCATTTGGCAGTCAACCTGACCGGCGATGTAACGTGGCAGGACGCCATTCTTGGATCTACCGGGTACCAGCCGGACAGAGGCAAGGCCTAAAGATGTCTGGGCCTCACGGCCGCAAGCCGTCGCTTGGCGCCACGAATAGCTCAGAGCCATGCTTAGGTGGGTGTAGGCCGTATGGCCGCAGCTTTCCAGGGCTACAAGTTCAGCCCTTCTGACGCGTTTGAGATTCGCCTCCGAAGCAGACGCGACAAGCCAGGCTTGACCATTGAGTCATCGCTTGGTGTGCGGACCTCGGAAAGCATGCACCCTTTCCCAGCAGTTGCTAGCTAGGCGCGGCACACGGCAGACGAGCACCTCCTTCTGCAGGCGGCAAGTTCCAAGCACCCCAAACATGTAGTTGCTTCACTCAAGGACCTTGCCAGCGCTGGCAAGGCCATTTGTCGCGAACTCAGCTTCCAAGATCTTCCAAGTTCTTCCTTTCTGTGCTCACAGATGCTCACAGCTTGGAGCTCGCTGAGGCCTTGCAATTGTGGATCTCCTGTGTCCAGAGGCCTTGCACTCGGCGAGCGCTGCAAAGTTCTGTGCGTGGGCGCCAGGCCAACCCGGCCAGAACCATCTCTGCCGCAATCGTCGGGACTGTGGCGTCCGCGAGCTCCATGGCGTCTGTGACGTCTGTATCTGCCAGCCCGTTGGCCCTTGGGCCAAGGAGTGAAATTGAGGCAGAGGCCCTGTCGGCACGCACTGCCTAAGATCGCCCATTGTCACGGTGTCAAAAGAGGACTCGGGAGGGGAGCGCGGCGCCTTGACATCCTAAGCCACAGGGTTTTTTGCAGCCTCAACCCAAGACTCAAGTGGGTATGGCTCAAAATTACAGAGCTGGGGTTACGCGGGTTTTAGTCTTTGGTTCCATTTACCAAGGTGCCATTTTGGTACCATTTTTTTGAGCCGCAGCCCAAGTGTTACCCGGCCCTGATGTGGCATTGCAGCATGACTTGCTCGTGCTGAGAACTTGGAACTCGCCGTGTCAGTTGTTGGCTTTTCAGCGATCGAGACACAGTTTCACCACTAGTCACACATGATGGTAACAGGATAGTCCAAGACCTTGTCCACCACTTGGCGCATCAATTAAATTGCATGATGAGTTTTGGAGGCATTTGCCATGCGTTAAGTCTCTGCAACTCATGGAGGGCCAGGCTGTACAGCCGCATGCGCTTTGCGTCAAGCCCAGAGACAGCGTGTTTCCGGCAAATCAATGAGGCAAGACACGGCAAGACATTCAAGAAACCGGATCAGATAATTTGTCGGATCCGTCGGATCCCAGTTCAAGATGAAGTCAGATTGCTTGAGCGCGGTTTGGGTTGATTTGCTATTGATTTGCTCGCGCATGGCAAAGGCTCGGCTCTCCAATGACAGGCCAGCTTTCTGAAGCGAACAAAGAGTGAAATGGGTATGGGTCAAAATCAAAACACCAGGGGACCGCAGGTTCAGTCCACTTTTCCATTTACCAAGGTTCCATGTTGGGCACTTATTTTTGACCCATACCCAAATATCAGCTCAATGACTTCACTGACTTCCGGACCTTCCCTGGTTTGGGCGATTTGCTTCTCGATGGCCAGGCGCCTCTGAGCTGAGTTTCAGCTTCTCAGGCCGGGAGTAGCAGCTGAGGCTGGACAGGTGGATTGCATTCAGGTGGAGAGACAGAAAGCCGTCCACGCCTGAGTTTGAGCGCAAAGCATGTGTTGCCCATTTGTAGCGAATTGCATTTCTCAAAGCCTCGAGTCACACGATGTTTTCCCATTTTCTCATACGCACCTTGCACGCGGTTGGATTGGCCCAGTTGAACATCGAGCTCCTCCCGACCGCACCGCCGACAAAGTGGAAAGATGTGGGTGGCAATTCGAACTGGGACACTGCCAGGCTGCGTCGGCTTGGGCCAGGGCACCGGTGGAAATCTCGCCAGGAGGGAGTCGCAAGTGAAGTGCTGCCTGTGATCTGAAAATTTCATGTCGCCGTGATGCCTTGGGAGCCATTCACGTGAGGAGCTGCTTGGGCCTTGTGGGCGCACAGACCATCAAGGACATCCGTGCGGGCTTGCAAGCGCAGGCCCTCCGCCGTTCGCGCGCCGTTCGCGTGCCTGACGGTGAGCGCAGGCAACCAAAGAAGTGGAAGAGATCGGCAACCAGTCGCCCAGCGCATTCAGCGCACTCAGTGCATAGCCAGAGAGCCAAACCCCAGGGATGCCCCGTGCCCGGTGAGCCCTCGGTCGGTGCCATCCTGGGCGAGTCGTTGAGAGAGTGAGCGGAGCGGGATGCACTTGCCGTCGAGAGATGCGACTCAGACAACTGGTGCAATGCTGAGCTACTCGGAGCCCAAAGGGCGCGGAGCTGAATGCCTCCTTGGTGAAGGGAAGGAATGAAGTGTCCGAGGAGGAGAGACCAGTCAGCAACCATGACAGGTTTTGGGAAACCCTGGCCGGTCTTGGGAAACCATGACAGGTTTTGGGTGGCCATGACACGTTTTGGGGAAACCATGACAGGTTTTGGGTGGCCATGACAGGTTTTGGTGACGGTGGCCATGACAGGTTTTGGGTAACCATGACAGGTTTTTGGAAACCATGACAGGTTTTGGGTAACCATGACAGGTTTTTGGAAACCATGACAGGTTTTGGGATACCATGACAGGTTTTGGGAAACCATGACAGGTTTTGGGATACCATGACAGGTTTTGGGAAACCATGACCGGGTTTGGAAACCACGACAGGTTTTGGGTGGCCATGACAGGTTTTGGGAAATTATGACAGGGCAGGTTTTGGCCAATGACGGCCATGACAGATTTTGGGTAACCACGACAGGACAGGTTTTGGGACACCATGACAGGTTTTGGGTGGCCATGACAAGTTTTGGGCAACCATGACAGGTTTTGGGAGGCAGGTTTTTGGGAATTTTGGGAAACCATGACAGGTGGGTGGCAGCCATGACAGGTTTTGGAACCATGACAGGTTTTGGGAACCATGACAGGTGTTGGGTGGCCATGACAGGTTTTGGGAAACTATGACAGGACAGGTTTTGGCCATGACGGCCATGACAGATTTTGACTTGTTATACGCGTGTGGCTTTGCGGCAGCCCGCTCGCTCTTGTTTCTCCACCGGCCGGGCGAAGCCAAAGTGTAGCTCTCCCTGCAGCGGTGCCGCCAAGTCCGGGTCACGTGGAGGACGCCGTGTTCCAGCAGCACCTGAGCAGAGAAGGGGCACGACGTCCTTCCTGCGGCAACGCCGAACCAAGTCATATAGCTCCTGGGCGAAGTCTTCTGCATGACCACGCCGCTCGCGGCACGAGACGAGCCCGAGCTGGCGGACGGACCTGCGGTCTCTGGAAAGCTAGCGGCGGTTTTTTCGCCAGGATACGTTGCGCCCCGGAATGTGGACCTCTTTTGCAAAGCACGTTTTCGCAGCTGCGGCCTTGCTGTGCGGGGAACGGCGCAAACGGCCACGAGGAGAGGAGGCGGCGATGGCTTTGCCGACCTTGGCCGAGTAGTGGCAGAAATTTAAAGGGCGCTTCTTCGTGACCGGCGGCCCGGGAGCGGAAAGACAATGCTGCTCGGCATTTGGTGCGGCGTCCTGGCGGACACCCTCTGGCCCCAGATGGCAGGAGCAGACGTGGACACTGTCCACGGCCACTTCGTGTAGCGCAAGAGGCCAGAGATCACAGCGCCTTGAATTGGTTTTGGACCTTGGAGCCCCCAACAGCGTGCTGGTCATATGCGGCGACTTTCAGCAGCTGGGGCTGTTTGATGACAATGGGCCGCGCGGCGCAGTTCGCTGCAGCCGTGTGAGCGCTGTGCTGGGCTCGCTGACAGAGGCGCTGCAGGGACCACACGGGTGTCCAGGCGTCCTGTGCCTGGCGCGCTGCCGGGAAGTGCCGGCAGCCGCGGTCGGGTGGATGCGGTTCACGTGGCTCAGCTAGGAGGCTGTGAGGAAGGTGGAGGCGGCCCTAGCTTGGCTGAGAGCAAGTGCGTGCAGAGAAGTGCGCAGCTTCATCGTCACGCCTTACCTGGAGATGGCGATCTGGCCGAACTTGTACGCGTGGCGAGACTGGGCCGAAGGGTGCTAGGAAGAGCTTTGGCCACAAGCGCACGCGCGCCTGGCCACGTTCGTCCGTGGATGTGGAGGGTGGTGGGCGACCTGGCGGCCACCTTGAGCGTGCGAACCTTCGGACCCTGGTACTTCCGAAGGTTTCGCCTACGCGCTGCAAGATGTCTGACGCCAGCGCCGCCGCAGCTGTTCTGCACCTTCGCATTTGGGGAGTGGAACGCCGTCGGCTGGCCTGGGCTGGAGGGCCGCGGTGACGACCCACACCCTTCTCAAAATCATCCAGAAGCTGTCCAGCTAGAAGTGGCGAATCCTGCAGGATGTACTGACGTACTTCCTACGGATCGAGTTCCAGGAAGGACAAGGTTTATGCGCCCGGACGTGGCAGCGATCCGAGCAAGGGTCCGTGCAGGCAAGGGAGACCCCATGTGGATGCCGCGGGCTGTGTGGGCTATGACAGGTTTGGGTGGCCGTGACAGTAGCCGTGACAGGTTTTGGGTGGCCGTGACAGGTTTTGGGAAACCATGACGTTTTGGGAAACCATGACAGGTTTTAGGAAACCATGACAGGTCTTTAGCTGCCTGTTTTGGGTGGCCATTTTGGGTTACCGTGACAGGTTTTGGGTGGCCATGACAGATGTTGAGTGGCTATGACAGATTTTGGGTGACAGGGCCATGACAGATTTTGGGTAACAGTATTCGCGACAGGGTAACCACACTACACTAGGGGCCACGGAAATGAATGGAACATTGGCGGGAATGGACAGGGATATGAAAGGGAAGCGTCCACTTCCGTCCACTCCCGTCCACTCCATCCTGCCACTCCCGTCCATTCCCATCCATTCCCGTCCATTTCCATTCCCGTCCATTTCGCTTTCATTTCCTTGTCCTTTCCCACTCATTTCCCTTCCATTTCCATGCTGTCATTCTCTGGCCGGAATACTGCGGGAGCTGAAGCCATGTGGCGCGGTTCCCATATCTGAGGATGTGGTTTAGCTTGCTGGTGAACGACATGGGGCCGGTTCCCAAAGAGGCCCGATGGATGGGGCCGAGCTTGGCTCCTGGAGCTGAAGCTAAGGACTTGGACAAGGTCACCTCGCATCGATGGACCTTCCAAGGTGCGAAATGCGAAACGGAAGTTGCGGACGCACTGGAGATGACTTTTGAACTTTTCCAGGTGCGCTCGAGTTGGCAGCGCGCCTCCGACACGACTTGTTGCTGCATGAAGATGCCGCGACAAAGCGAGCTTCATGCAAGGCAGGGGAAGAGCATTTGCTATTTCATCCTGTCTGGAGCTTGGCTGGTTTTAGTATTGCTTGCATCTCGCTCAAATAGTTACCGTGTTTGTCAACAGGTGTCTTTTGGAGATCCAAAGGAACATCCAAGTGGACCAGGCGCCAGAGGATTGCTCCTGTGTCCTGGCAGCCCTGTCCTGACAGGAAGAAGAAGTGCTTCATCCCAGCCTTCTGGAAGCGTGGCCATGCCTCGCTTCGCCTTGAGCCTTTCTGAAGCCTTCTTTGGCCGTTTGCCAGGTGCAAGACTTTCGTGAGATGCCAGTGCAGAGAGGGTAAGACAGGGGAGATGTACCAGGCGTCAAGACCTTCAAAGCTGTCGGCAAGACTTTGCCTGGCAAGGTTTTGACCCACTTCATCAGCAACTCGTTGGTCTTCTTTGAGTGGGAGAGGCCGTCGGCCTTGCAATCTGATCTGGCTGAATGATTGCATCCACATCTTCCAATGATCGCATAGGTAGCCTCGTTGACAAATCCATCTAGTAGTCAAAGCAACCCCCGCCGAGCAACCCTCCTTGGTTCGTCTCAAAAATGCTTTAATGCTGTCCACACTGTTTACTTGCGTCCGCTTGCGTCGCATGCACTTCAAACCAGGTTTCTTAACGAGATTTTCCAGGATTCTCGAGCACATCAAGAGGCGTGGAACATTGAGAAACATGCAATCTATGTGGCTGTCGGCAATTTTAATCAGAAGTTACGCTTGCGCAGCGCTTCTTGGTGACGCACCTGGAGCAAGTCTGGTCGCGATACAAAAGGCGGGCTCACAGAGTCGTTGAACGGCAGTGTGACATGTTCCAGGCTGAAGCTATTCCTCGAAACCATTTTCGACTACCTGGATGATACGTTCACCTGGCGGCACCGATTACCGAAGGTCAGGTTGTTGCGGGTTCAGGTCATCTAAGCATGGTAAGAGTTCAGGTGGGCGAGCTGGTGCGGGATCACATGAAGAGGACCTGGGCTTGGCAGCATTGCATGACCTGTAGCATGGCTCCCCTGAGGAGATGCTTCTCCTCTCCACGAGTAATGCGGAACGAGCTCTTCTCTTCACAGGCTGGCTTGGTGCATGTGTTCGGCGTGGCTTCCCTTTTCTACCTGTGCAGGGCGGGCGTGATGAGACATTGAAGCAGGTCAAGTTCACGATGGGCTTCGTGCTCTAGGGCAGGATCCATCGCGAGGCATGCCTCGCCATTTTCAAGGAAGTCAGAAGCAAGTGGCAATTGGCAAAGCCAAGTGCCGGTAGAGCGCAAATGTCAAACTTGTGAAGAGAAGGGACCGTCATGTAACTCTGTTGCAAGTGAGGAAGCTTGGCCCGGAATGGATTGAACTGGAGATGCTTTCTCTTATCATCCAGCCATGAAGATGTTGCATCGTGTGTGGCAAGAGCGCGGCATGTGCGTGACGTGTGGCCTGTATTGCGTGGACACTTGTTTTGTTGGTGCATTTGTGCGAGCATGTGTGTGTCTGTGTGAGCCTGCGCCTGTCCCCTCTCTCTCTCTCTCTCTCTCTCTCTCTCTCTCTCTCTCTCGTTAAAATACGTCGATGCTTTACTACAAGTGCAGGTGTTGTTTATTTACACGCTGACGCGACACAGCCGGCCACCGGGCAGCCTGCCCTGCCTGTCACTTCCTTTTCTTCTAATTCCGATTAGTTCCCGAGATGCGAACCTCACTTCCTTTGCGTGTCTTTCCTGTATCCTCGACAGTTTCCTGGCATTTCCCTTCACGTCCTGTCTGTTTGAGCTCCGTGCATTTCCTTGAGCGCCGTGTCAGTCACATTCCTTCCCTCTGTTCTTTTTAGTTTCCGTGGCTTCAGTCCGCCTCCCATTCCACGTCAGTTTCCTGCACGTCCCTTCAGTTCTCTTCAGTTTCTCTTCGTTTCCCATAATTTCCAACAATTTATTTTCGTTCCCATCCTCCGCTTCCCTTCGCGTTCTGTTTTCCTGCATTTTGGTTTCTCTCCAGCTCTTCATGTTCGTGCAATTCCTGTCACTACCATTTCGCTCTCTTCCAGTCATTCCAGTTTCCTTGCATTTCCCCTTCGCTCTCTGCAATTTTCAGCCCCTTGTTTCGCATCGCCAGCATGCATAACATCATCCGCATCATCCGGGATGATGCTGGCAATGCTGGGGGTGTTGTCCAGTACTAGGCACCCCATAAAAATACTCGTTTTTGGACTCGTTTTTGGGCGCTGCGGGGAGATGCGACAAAAATCACTTAAACCAATCCGCGAATCCCTCGCCCCTTATAAGGGCGGGCCCAGCACAAAACGTATGCTCATGGTCCGCGCATGGTCGGCGGCATGTGAAGGTAAGCCCTGCGGGCTTAGGCCTGCGGCCCGATCACGTCCGGTGGCCGGATTACACGCTGACGCGACACAGCCGGCCACCGGGCACCTTGCCCTGCCTGTTCTGTCACTTCCCCTTCCTGTAAGTCCGATTAGTAGATGTTAAGATTTAAAAACTTTCAGATTCTGAGGGTCTCAGATTTGAAGACTGTCGGAATTTAAGGTTTCAATGGTTTAAGAATTAAGGTTTTAAGATTCAAAGATTTAAGGTTTTTGAAGGTTATCACAGCCAGGCAATTGCCCAGCCATTTTCCATCCATTATCAGATTTCGAAGGCTTTAAGATTTTATTTTTGTGAGATTTTCAGATTTGGCGACTTTCGGAATTTAAGATTTTAAGATCTTAAGATGTCAAGACTTCAAAATTTCAAGATGAAGAGTTTAAGGAATTTAAAATATAGCCCGGATTGAAGGAATTTTTATTATATTTTACTTGTTTATGAATTTAAGATTTTCAGATTGCAATAGTTCGAGATTTAAAGAATTTAAGTTTTTGAAGCTTTTAAGATTCTGAGATTTTAAGATTGTGAGAATTTAGGAATTTCATACTTTAAGATTTTAACATCTGAAGATTCAAACACATGAGGGTTTTAAGAAGTCAAGATTTGAAGACTTTAGGATGTTTATGTTTTCAGGCTGTAAGATTCTAACTTCTAAGGTTGTAATTTTAAGATCTTAAGGTTTCAAGATTTCAAAGTTTCAAGATTAAGAGTTTAAGGAATTTACAATATAGCCCGGATTGAAGGAAAGTAACATTTTAATAACTTAAGATTTTCAGATTTCAATTGTTCGAGGTTTAAAGAATTTAAGTTTTTAAAGCTGTTTAAGATTCTGAGATTTTAAGATTGTAAGACTTTAGGAATTTCATATTTTAAGAGTTTAAGATCTCCAAGATTCAAAGACTTTAGGGTGTTTTTATATTTTCAGATTTTAAGATTCTAAGTTCTAAGATTTTAAGATCTTGAGATTCTAAGATCAGGCCATTTTCCATCCATTTTCCATCCACTTTAAGATTTTAAGATTTTCAGGTTGCACGTTTTCGGCAAAATTGGCCCGGCTTGGGGGACAACATCCCCAGCATCCCCGCATCGCCAGCACTCATAACATCATCCGCATCATCCGGGATGATGCTGGCAATGCTGGGGGTGTTGTCCAGTACTCGTTTTTGGGCGCTGCGAGGAGATGCTACAAAAATCCTCGGAAATCGCCGAAACCAATCCGCAAATCCTTCGCCCCTTATAAGGGCGAGCCCAGCGCAAAAGTTCTGCTCATGTTCTGCGCATGTTCTGCGCATGGTCGGCGGCATGGGGCGCACGGCCTTATACCTGAAGGTAAGCCCTACCGGGCTTTGGCCTGCGGCCCGATCACGTCCGGTGGCCGGATTTAAGAAGTTCTTTTGACGCTGGTTCATGTAGCCAGGGTGCGGTGCATTTTTGCTTTGCTTTCGCGTGAAAATGCACCGCTTTTATGCTGATGATGATGCTGATGATGCTGAACTGACATGATAATCGTCATGACGCATCCTCAGCATCACCAGCAGGCATCATGATAATCATGTCCACGCATCTTCTGCATCTCAAATCGGCTCTAACGGGACTGATGATGATGATCATGATGATGATCACGATGATGATGATGATGAACTGACAGATAATCATCATGACGCATCCTCAGCATCACCAGCAGTCATCATGATAATCATGTCCACGCATCTTCTGCATCTCAAATCGGCTCTAACGGGACTGATGATGATGATCATGATGATGATCACGATGATGATGATGATGGACTGACATGATAATCATCATGACGCATCCTCAGCATTATTAGCAGTCATCATGATAATCATGTCCACGCATCTTCTGCATCTCCAATCGGCTCTAACGGGACTGATGATGATGATCATGATGAGCACCGTGATGATGATGATGATGATGATGATATGAGCGTGTCATCATCACCATGATGGTGGTCATCATCATCATCATCATCGTCATCATCATCAGCATCATCCTCGTCATTGTCATCGTCATCATCACCGTTGTCATCATCGATGATAACCATCATCGTGCATCCTCTGCATCACCAACAGTCAGGAGGAAATCATGTCTACGCATTCTCTGCATCTCCAATCAGGTCACAACGATGATGTGATGATGATGAGCATGTCATCATCATGGACGAAAACCATCATCGTGCATCCTCTGCATCACCAACAGTCATGATGATAATCATGACTACGCGCCCGCTGCATCTCCAATCGGCTCTAACGCTACCTTTGAAACGTGTATAAAAAAGATAAGGACGACAAGCGTGTCATCATCATCATCGTCGTCATCATCAGCATCATCCTCGACATCGTCATCGTCATCATCACCGTTGTCATCATCGACGATAGCCATCATCGTGCATCCTCTGCATCACCAGCAGTCATCATGATGATCATGTCTACGCATCCTCTACATCTCCAATCAGGTCAACGATGGCGTGATGACGATGAGCATGTTTATCGTCATCATCATCATCATCAGCATCATCATCATCTCATTGTCATCATCATCATCACCGTTGTCATCATGGACGATAACCATCATCGTGCATCCTCTGCATCACCAAGAGTCATGATGATAATCATGACCACGCACCCGCTGCATCTCCAATCGGCTCTAACGCTACCTTTGAAACGTATATAAAAAAGATAAGGACGACAACGATTATGATGTGATATAATGACAAGCGTGTCATCATCATCATCATCGTCGTGATCATCAGCATCATCATGATACTCATCATCGTCCATCCTCTGCATCACCAACAGTCATGAAAACGTACATAAAAAAGATAATGACAAGCGTGTCATCATCATCATCGTCATCATCATCAGCATCATCCTCGTCATCGTCATCGTCATCATCACCGTTGTCATCATCGATGATAACCATCATCGTGCATCCTCTGCTGCATCACCAACAGTCATGATGATAATCGTGTATACGCATCCTCTGCGTGTCCAATCAGGTCACCACGATGATGCTGTGATAATGATGAGCATGTCATCATCACCATGATGGTGGTCATTATCGTCATCATCATCATCATCGTCATCACCGTCATCATCACGGTTGTCATCATGGACGATAACCATCATCGTGCATCCTCTGCATCACCAACAGCCATGATGATAATCATGACTACGCACCCGCTGCATCTCCAATCGGCTCTAGCGCTACATTTGAAACGTATATAAAGAAGATAAGGACGACAACGATTATGATGTGATATAATGACAAGCGTGTCATCATCATCATCATCGTCGTCATCATCAGCATCATCGTCGTCATCATCATCGTCATCATCACCGTTGTCATCATCGATGATAACCATCATCGTGCATCCTCTGCATCACCAACAGTCATGATGATAATCATGTCTACGCATTCTCTGCATCTCCAACCAGGTCACAACAATGATGATCCTTATCTTTTTTACATACGTTTCAAAGGTAGCGTGATGACGATGATGATGATGACGATAAACATGCTCATCATCATCGCATCATCATCCTTGTGACCTGGTTGGAGATGCAGAGGACGCGTAGACATGATCATCTTCATGACTGCTGGTGATGCAGAGGATGCACGATGATGGTTATCATGCATGATGACGAGGATGATGATGACGATGATGATGACGATGATGCCGATGATGATGATCACGACGACAACGATTATGATGTGATACAATGACAAGAGTATCATCATCATCATTATTGTCATCTCCTCGTCATCGTCATCGTCATCATCACCGTGGTCATCATCGATGATAACCATCATCTTGCATCCTCTGCATCACCAACAGTCAGGAGGAAATTATGTCTACGCGTCCTCTGCATCTCCAATCAGGTCACAACGATGATGTGATGATGATGAGATGGTGGTCATTATCGTCATCATCATCATC